GCTAGCAACAAGGGCAGCAGTTCAAACCCACCAACAGCTCCTTGAAAATTATGCAGGGTCACCATGAGTCAAAACAGACTCAAAGTCACTCAACAACAACAATCTAATGGAGGTTGTAGGAATCTTTCATAAATAATTTAAATAATGGGACATATGTTATACTACAGATATGAGTGAGACTCTATTAAGTCACAGTAGAGGAAGTATTTATCTGTTTCCAGTGTGCACATAAATCTTCTAAAAGTGCAGAATTCAGATTCTACTAGTTAATGACATTCATTTTTAACCAAAACTGTTAATATTCTTGTGTTCTTTATGTGCTAGGAATAGTGCTCTTTCCTTGTTATTAATATACCTTATTTAATTTTACAACAACTTTATGTGATATTAATGATATTGTCTGATGACTTTGTCTTTTTGAGCTGCCCTTTGAAATTATCTGTTCAGCTCTTTTACTGCCTCATTTCTTTCATTTTAGCATATCTACACTGGAAAGCAAGTTTCAAATTCTATTCTGACTTCCATTTTAGTGCTTTCCTTCTTTCTTGTCTTCTTAATGCCCTTTTGCTTCTTCATGTATGATGTTCTTGATACCATCCCGCAACTGTATTGTCTTTGGTTATTAGTGTCTAATTCATCAAATCTGTTTTTTATATGATCTCTAAATTCGGGTGGGATATGTTCAAAGTCATATCTTGGCTCTCATGGGCTTGTTTTAATTTTCTTCAGCTTCAGGTTGAACTTGCATTTGAGCAAATGGTATTCTTGTTGTAAGTGATAATAATGGAGCTTTTCCACTGTCTCATTCCAGAGTTGTAGTCAATTTGACTTCTGTGCAACAATTCCATTTGTTGAGGTCCATGTGCATAATTGTCTTTTGTATTATTTTTAAATGGTATTTGTAGTGAAGAAGTCTTGCAAAATTGTATCGTGTGATCTTCGTGTCTTTTTCACTTGGTGCCTTAGTTTTGTCTTCTAGGCAAGTTGCCTCTAACCCAGTTCCTCCATCTCTGGTGGGGACTGAGCCCAGAGGCATCTCAGCTCCTACCCAGGATTCCACTAAACACTTGTCTGGCCCTATTAACACCTAGCTCCCATCCTCTATCTTTGGGCTGGCAACTGCTCTACTTCTCTCTGTCTCATATTCATAAAACCCCAAAGAACTTATCTCCATGAAGATGGGATCCCAGACAGTGACTTCTATAGCCTTCTGACAAATGATTCCTGCCCCCAGATGGTCAGCAGCCTCTAATCCCCAATCTTGGTCACAACTTTAGCCACCCAGGAAAAAGGAAAGGGATCGCTAGAAGAATATAGCAATAGCAGCTTCACCTCTGTGTGCAGTGTGGACGTGTAGGACTGGCTGGAAAGGGCTTTCAAACCTCACCCCTTCCAGGTCCTTCACAAGCCCCCTGCATTGTAGTCCTACTTCCTCAACTCTCCATTCCCCTTCGGTGCTGGGGGGTTCTGCCTTAGAGCTCAGCTTCTCTCTCTTACCCCACCATCTTCCAGGAAGGCAGAGTCAAGGAGGTTGTGTTGCCCGGGCCCAGAGAACCTTCTTTCCAGCAACCTGTTGAGATTAGGGTTCAGTATGTGGCTCTTGGATTTGCCTAGTAGGTGGAATAAAGGACACAGATTTGATTTTTAGATTTCCTCTCTGCATCCTCATATAATGATTCCCGTAACTGGGACAGGACAACAAAATGTCGGGTCTCTGTTCTCCTTTGGCCTCCTGGGAATAGCCACTGTCTATAATTTAGCTGCTGTCAGGGAGAGCCAAAACCCATCATTCTAAAGTTTGTTCCCCTAAAAAAAAAAAAAAAGTCTTTTGTATTGTTTTTAAATGGTATTTGTAATGAAGAAATCTTGCAAAATTCTATCATGTGATCTTCACCATCATTTCTGTCACCAAGACCATATTTTTCAAAATCTGTTCCTTCCTTTTTGTTTACAATCTTTGCATTCCAATTGCTGATAATTATCTGTACATCTTGATTGCATGTTTCATCAATTTCAGACTAATGAATTTGGTAGACTTTTTCAGTTTCATCGTCATTGGTTTTAATGGTTGGTGTGTAAATTTGAATAATAGTTGTATTAACTGGTCTTCCTTGTAATCATATGGATATTATCCTATCACAGACAGTATTGTACTAAAGGATAAATCTTGAAATGCTTCTTTTGATGATGAATGCAATGCCATTCCTCTTCATTTTTTCAGACCCTATGCAGTAAACCATGTGATTGTTAAATTCTCAATGGCCAATACAAGTCCATTTTAGCTCACTAATGCCTAGGCGATGGATATTTATGCATTCCATTTCATTTCTGACAAGTTCCAATTTTCCTAGATTCATACTTCATATATACTTTGTGATTTCATTAGCAAGAATAAATGTTAATAAGTATCAAAGAAGTTGAATCAAAATATTTTAATTAAAAATGTTTTAATTATGTCATTGGTTATGGGGCAATGTATATTTTTAAATATTCATAATATATAAGTGTCCGACTTATGATGCTTTCTTTCTGTTATTTTGGTGGTAGTGTTGTTGGTAGTGTTGTTGGTTCCATTAAGTTGGTACCGACTCATAGCGACCCCGTTCACAACAGAATGAAACACTGCCCAGTCCTGGGCTAACCACACAATTGTTGCCACTCTTGAGTCCATTGATGTTGCCACTTTGACAATCCATTTGCTGAGGGTTTTCCTCTTTTTCTCTGACCCTCCACGTTACCAAACATGATATCCTTCTCCAGTGACTAGTCTCTCCTGACAATATATATGAAATATGATAGATAAAGTTTGGCCATTCTGGCCTCCAAGGAGCACTTTGGCTGTACCTCTTCCAACACAAATCTGTTAGTTCTTTTGGCAACCCATGGTACTTTCAGTATTCTCCAACACTATAACTCAAATGCATCAATTCTTTTATGATCATCCTGATTCACTGTCCAACGTTCACATGCATATGAGGTTATTAAAAAATACCATGGGTTAGGTCAAGCATACCTTAGTCCTCAAGCTGACACCTTTGCTCTTCAATGCTTTGAAAAGGTCTTGTACAGCAGATTTGCCTAATGCAGTGCATCGTTTGATTTCTTGACTGCTGCTTCCATGCGTGTTGATTGTTGATCCAAGAAAAATGAAGTCTTTGACAATTCCAATTTTTTCTCCATTGATAAGAATGTTATAAACAACCCAGTGGTGAGGACTTTTGTTTTCTTTACGTTGAGATGCAATCCATATAGAAGACTATGGTCTTTAATCTTCGTCAGTAAATATTTTAAGTCCTCTTCACTTTCAGCAAGGAAGGTTGTATCATCTTCATATCATAGGTTGTTAATGAGCCTTCCTCCAATCCTGGTGCCACATTTTTCTTCATATAACCCAGCTTCAAGGATTATTTGCTCCGTATACAATTTGAACAAGCATGGTGAAAGAATACAATCCTGTTGCACACCTTTCTTAATTTTAAACCATTCAGTGTTCCCATGTTCTGCCTCTTGGTCTATTTACAGATTCCTCATGAGCATAATTAAGTGTTTAGGAATACTCATACTTCGCAATGTTGTCCATAGCTTGTTCTGATCTGCACAATTGATGGCCTTTGTGTAGTTAATAATTCACAGATAAACATCTTCAAATAAAGTATCTAGAAGGTTCCTTTGTAAGCACTAAATTAGAACAAAGGCAGGTGGATACATTTGGGTTTTCTGAGTCTAATAAAAATATCATGGGAGTCACAATTGCAAACATGTGTGTAATATACCAAGTTTTCTAGTAGCCACATTCTTACAATGTAAAAAAAAGCTATAAAATTCATTTTAATAATGTTGTTAAGGGCTGTCCAGTCAGTTCTGACTCATAGCAGCTCTGTATAGATATTCTAAAGGTGGCTGGTGGGTTTGAACTGCCTACCTTGCAGTTAGCAGTCCATGGCTTATCCTACAGTTGTCATGCTAAGATTCCAGTTTTAATAATTTATCTCCATATATTCAGAATGTTATTTTTAAATGTAATCAATGTATTCTTTTTAGTCTATACTAAGTTTTCATAAACTTTTATGTATTTGTACATATATGGATCTTCATTGATTTACTCACTAAGTCCTTTACTTGGGAAAAATTATGGAACCAATTTCCCCATTTATATAATGAAAGGAGGAGTTGTAAGAATTAAATAATATATTTGGCATACTTTGCACAAGGAAAGTGCTATATAAATCTTAGCTGCTTTTAAAAACAGGTGAGTATGACTTGTAGTGACATCACTGTCACAAGGCAAAGAACAGATCTTAAGAATCAATTTATTTGTAACCCCCAAATTTAGGGGATTATTTCTAAGCCTAGACTGTCATCTCTTTCCCTTGGATAGACCTGGATGCACATATCTCTCTGGTTCCCTGTTTAAATTATTTTTCTAAAGAAGAAGACACTATGGCTGCTACTGGTTCCTGGTGCATGTTAGTTGTGACAGAACCCAGCAGATAAAGTTACAATTTTAGCATCATTAAAATTGTTGTATTTGTTGTTAAGTGCCATCGAGTTGGTTCCGACTCATAGCTTGGCTAGATAATTTCATTATGGCTAGAAATCTAAATTAATGAACATTCTTTCAGTAGTTTTTCATTATTTGCCTCTTCTTAACTAATGTGAAAGGAACTCTGTGGTAGCGTAGTGGTTACGAATCGGGCTGCTGTCCTCAGGGTCAACAGTTCGAAACTACCAGCTGTTCTGCAGGAGAAAGATGAGGTTTTCTGCTCCTGTAAAAAGATTTACAGCCTCCGAAACCCTCTACAGGGTAGCTATGAGTCGGAACCGACTCCACGGCACATAACTACAACAACTAATGTGAGGAAAAAAATAATCACAAAATTTTTGTTTTACTTCCATGGTTATTGCATTTTTAATGGCAGTCTTAAGCTAATGGCAGAAACTTCCATATTTTTTAATGCACTATTGCTGGTTTTGAGACTATTTTCTTCTCCTGATTTCAGGTTGGGTGGGACTATATCGGCATACAAGATAGTACCAGATGAAATAGAAGAAATCAAGGTATAGTATGGCATTTTTCACCTCTGCAAAGGCTTATGGGGTGGAGGTGTTTTGTTGTACAATTGACTCTTCAGATATGTTCAGACATCATTTAATACCCATTTAGACTCATTGAAATTTTAAAAATGAATCATATAGTCACTGTCAGATTTATCTACCATTAGCAGTGTATTTCTAAAAAAAAATAGAGAATCAAAAGCAGAACCTTTCCCGTTGTGATTGAAAATCTGTTTGTGAAGAGAGCACTGTGGATAAGCTTTAGTGTACATAATAGATTATAATTTTCTTTCCCTTTAAACCTTCAATAGTTATAAATGATGTCCACCTTTTGGTAAGTATTTCCTGGTTCATTTGAAACACAACATATAAATTTAAATTAAAAATTTACAATATAGTGAATAAGAAATTGACATTTTGAGAACATTACATTTTGAATAGGTTGATACATTACTCCATTTTTCTGTGTCTAACGTTTTCGTATATCCTATGGAATATTAATTTTATATTTATGAAGTCCTGGTGTGGCGCTGTGGGCTAATGCATCAGACTGCAAAATCGTTTGAACTGCAAGGTTGGTGGTTCAAGCTCATCAGCTGCTCTTTGGAAACCCTATACAGGGTCGCTATGGGTTGGAATTGATGGCACTTAATAACAACAACAACAACATGCAATATTAATAACATGCTACCATTGTCTAAAACAGTTTACAATCTGATGAGAATTGAATTTACTTTTTTTTCCATAAGTAAAATTTAATAGTTGGATAGCAATTATCAAGGATAAACAATACTTTTAAATTGACCTGTAGAGGTATGCAGAAATTATTAACTTTGATTTAATTTAACCTTTCAAATTTCAAGTTTAATGAATTCAAATCTCAGTAAATATTAGTTCTTTAATTTATTTGCATTGTTTTTATATCAGTTAAGTGCACTGCTTTTTAATACATGATATACTATTTGTTATAGTATGTTAAGTATTTTAATGTATAGTTAACATCAAGGAGTAATTGTTGTTAAGTGTGGTGGAGTCGATTCTGACCCATAGCGACCCTGTATAGGGTTTCCAAGGAGCAGCTGGTGAGCTTGAACCACTAACCTTGCAGTTCAAACAACTTTGCAGTTCGACGCATTAGCCCACAGTGCCACACCAGGACTCCCTCAAGGGGTAATACTATAATTATATTCTAAGATCAGAATTTATAAAAAGCGTATGAAGAAACCTTTTGACTTTATATAAACTCATAAAATATCTTGATTGGAAGGAAACTCTGCCTTAATCAATTTTCAGATGAAGAAATGGAAATAAATAAAGGAGACATTTCTGAAATTACTTGTTTGAGGTCCATTAATTATTTGCCTAAAATGTGTAGCTGTAGAGTCATCACTGGACCGGGAACCACAAAGTTGGCAGCTCCGACCCACCAGGTGCTCCTTTGAAACCTTATACAGACAGGTCACTATGAGTCGGAACCTACTCAATGGACCTTAACAACAACAACAAAATATAATCAAGTGTAGTTGGTCAGATTAGCATAAGTTTATAACTTATTGAAATTCATTTTATAATGACTCAAAATTAATTTGAATTATTGTTGTTGTTGTTATTGTTATGTGCCGTGGAGTCAGTTCCAACTCATAGCGACCCTTTACAGGGTTTCCAAGGCTATAAATCTTTACGGGAGCAGAAAACCTAATCTTTCTCCCGTGGAACAGCTGGTAGTTTCGAACTGCTGACCTTAAGGTTCTCAGCCCGATTCGTAACCACTACATTACCAGAGCTCCATTTGAATTATATAGTAATTCAATTATAAGATTAATTATAAGAGTCTATAATTCAATTATATAATTCAATTTTAAACAATAAATATATGTATGAATAACTAGTCATCAATTATACAAAGGATATAAAGTTTATATCTGTCTGTCTTACTCTGTCTTATAATAAAATTGCAAAACATTGTGTTTAAGTGATACCAAATATTCTGTGGAAATACATAGAAAGGCCACCTGATAATTAAAAATAGGTAATAAGCAAAGTGTTTCCAAGAGGAAAACTCATAAAATTGGAGTTCTATGCAGAGATATACAGAAATAGGAACTTTTGGTGTGGCACTGTAGGATCAGTACTGGACTGCGAAACACAAGGTTGGCAGTTCAAAGATAACAGTTGCTCCTTGGAAATCCTATATAGGGTCGCTATGATTCAAAACTGACTTAACGGCCTTTAACAGCAACAACACACAGAGATAGATGTACCTGTAAAATATAAATATGAAATATTATCACATCAGATCAAGTTGTTAAGTGTCATCAAGTCAGTTCTGACTCAAGCAACCCTGAATAGTGTTTCCAAACAGTGACTGGTTCATTTCAACCACCAACTTTGCATAAGCATGCTGGTGCTTATCCTACAACACCACGAGTATAAGACACACATGTATAAGCATGAATTTGTCTATTCCTGAATTTTTGTTCCTTTGATGTATTTGTTCCCTTGGATCTTGGCTGAAAGCAAAGAATACCAAAAGATGTTTGTTGTTAGGTGCCTTAGAGTCAATTCCAACTGATAGTGACCTTATACACAACAGAACAAAACGGTCCTGCACAATCATTGATAAGCTTGAGCCCATTTCTGCTACCACTGTGTGAATCCATTGCATTGGGGGTCTTACTCTTTTTTATTGACCCTCCACTTTACCAAATACGTTGCCCTTCTCCAAGTACTGGTCCCTCTTAATATTATGTCCAAATTATGAGGGACAAAGTCTCACCATTGTGGATTCCAAGGAGGATTCTAGTTGTATTTCCAACACAAATTTATTTGTTCTTCTAGCATTCCATGATACCTTTAATATTGTTCCCCAACACCATAACTCAAATGCATCAACTCTAAGGTCTTCCTTATTCATTGCCCAACTTTCACATGTATATGAGGCTATTGAAAATACCATGGCTTTGTTTAGATGCACTTCAGTCCTCAAACTGACATCTTTGTTCTTGAACACTTTAAAGAGGTCTTGTGTGTATTTGCTTAATGTGTTGTTTGTTTTCTTGATGGCTACTTCCTTGAGTATTGATGGTGGATCCAAACCAACAACTTCATTCTTTTATCCATTTATCATGATACTATTTATTGGTCCATTGGTGAGGATTTTAGTTTTCTTTACATTGAGGTGCAGCCTATACCAAATGCTGTGGTCTTTGATCATCATCAGTAAATGTTTTAAGTCCTCTTCATTTTCAGCAAACAAAGTTGTATAATTTGCATATTGTAGGTTGTTAATGAGGCTTCCTCCAGTTATAATGCCGTGTTTTTCTTCATATAATCCAGCTTTTTAAATTTTTTGCTCAGCATATAAATTGAATAAGTATGGTAAAAGAATACAACTCTGACACACACTGTTCCTGATTTCAAACCATTTGGTGTCCCCTTGTTCTGTTCGAACAGCTGACTCTTGTTCTATGTACTGTTATATAAACAGCAAACTGTGCCAGAGTACTTGTTCTCCACAATGTTGTCCATAGCTTGTCATGTTCCATACAGTCAAAAATCTTTGCATAGTAAAACTCAAGTAGACCTCTTTCTGGTATTTGCTTTTTTGTTCATGATCCGTTGGATGTCAGGAATGATATCCTTCATTTGATGTTCTCTTCAATATCCCGTGTGAACCTCTGGCAGTTCTGTATCCATGTACTGTTGCAGCTGTTTTTGAATTGTCTTTAGTAAAATTTGATTTGCATGTGATATTGATAATAGTGTCCTATGATTTCTGCATTCCGTTGGGTCACCTCTCTTTGGACTGGGCACAAATATGGATCTCTTACAGTCAGTTGGCCAGGTTATCTGTCTACCCAATTTCTTGGTATACATGAGTGAGTGCCTCCAGTGCTGTCTGAGTTTGTTGAAATATTTTAATTTGTATTTCATCAATTCCCAGAGCACTATTTTTTGCCAATGCCTGCAGTCCACTTTGGGCTTCTTCCTTCTTGTTCATATGCTACCTCTTAAAATGGTTGAACATCAACCATTTCATTTTGGTACAGTGACTGTATGTATTCCTTACATCTTCTTTTGATGTTTTCTTCATCATTCAATATTGTGCCAAAAGAATCCTTCACTATTTCAAATCAAGCCTTGAAGTTTTTCCTCAGTTCTTTCAGCTTGAGTAATGCTGAACGTGTTCTTCCCTTTTGGTTTTCTAACTCCAGGTATTTATACATTTCATTATGTTGTTGTTAGTGCCAGCATATACGTTTCAACTCATAGCAATCCTATATAGTGTTTCTGAATATCAACTGGTGGGTTTGAACTGTCAATCTTGTGGTTTGCAGTCCAGTACTTATCTGATAGCAGCTGACCAGAACTCTTGAATGTGTTTGCCTGTGTTTTATTGATTGTTCAAAGGCATCCAGCTCTGAAGGTCATAAAAAATTGTGGAAAACACTTTGAAGAATGGGAATTCCATAACACTTAATTGTGTGTGCAGAACCTGTACATAAACCAAGAAATAGCCATTCAGACAAAACAAGAGAATACCTGGTTTAAAATCAGGAAGTGTATGTTTCAGGGTTGCACCACTTCACCATACTTATTCAATCTGTGTGCTGAGCAAATAATATGAGAAACTGGACTATATAAGGAAGACTGTGGCATCCAGATTGAAGGAAGACTCATGAACAACCTGCAATGTGCAGATGACACAACCATGTTGAAACAGAAGATGGCTTTCTTGTGAAGCACTTACTGACTTCCTTCAAAGAATACAACCTTTAGTATGGATTACACCTTAACATAAAAAAAAAAAAAATCCTTATAACTGAAGCAATAAGCAACATCTTGATAAATGGAGAAAAAATTGAAGTTGTCAAGGATTTTATTTTACTTGGATCCACAGTCAATGACCATGGAAGCAACAGTCAAGAAATCAAATGACGTACTGCATTGGACAAACCTGCAAAAGTTCTTTTTGTTTTGTTGTTAAGTGCTGTTGAATCTTG